ACACCGAAGGAGCTCCCCTAGAGTCATCCTTCAAACGGGGTACTTACAAATGCGCCTTGCCACTTGCCATTAGGAAAAACCGAGGCTGAGCCCACTGTCTCCTGTGCCTGCACATGGTGCAGCGGTTTAAGTGCTGGGCTGCTAACCACAAGGTCAGTGGTTCGAACCCACCAGCCACTCCGTGGGGGCAGGAAGAGGCTGCCTGCTCCTGTAAAGATGAACAGACTTCAGACATCCTCTAGGGCAGAACTACCCTGTCCCAAAGGGGAAGACCCGATGGCAGACTGGGCTTTGTGGTTTGGGAAGGAGCCCTGGGCTGTCACCCAAGCCCACCGGGTGCTCCTTGGAACAAAGAGGTGGCAGTTGGCCCCCAGAGAGGATCACAGCCTTGGACATCACCTCTGGGGGTTGTCCTACTCTGCCTGCTCCAGAATTAACTTTGCTTGGATTCCTCGAAGCGGAGGCTCCATTCCCGGCCAGTGCCCATCTTGCCCAGCCTCCACCCCTCTGTCAGGGGAGGCTCCTGCGCCGCCGAGCAGACGGGAAGAGCGGGAAGAAAGGCCTGGAATCCACTTCCCCAAGTCAGATCGTCAGAACCCTATGGACCACACGGTCTGCTTCGAAACGGACCACGGGGACAGGGCAAGTTCCACGGTGCTCGGGGACGGCCACCAGACAAGGGCCAACTCAAGAGAAGCCACCAACAGCCCCCCGAGAGTCGTCACCGCCCTCCCACGACACTGGGTCACAGGCATCCCTCCTGCGTTCCCTTTAGATCAGTCCTGTGCAACTCCAGGTCCCACACTCAGTCCAGCGAGTCCACTCTGACTCCCAGGATGGACCTCCCCTGCGGGTTCCCAAGCCTGGGGTTCTGGGTGGGGGCAGAGAGCCTCACCTTTCTCCCCAAGAACAGCTGGTGGTCTCCAGTTGCTGGCCTTGCCGTTAGCAGCCCCAACCCATCAACCCGGCACGCACCGGTGCTCCTGCTGCATGCGGCTTGCAGCAGTTCATGCGCTCCGTTGCCTATGAGGTGCCTCCGGAGAAAGGCCTGGAGACCCACGGGCTCCCCCAACCCAACCAGAGAAAACCCCGTGCGAGCGGTCCCACTCACACTGACCAGGCATCACCGCTACCTGGATACTGTGAGCGACCACGCTGCACAGGTTCACACGACACCTGAAAGCCATGCTGCCCTCAGGTGCGGAGGCCGATGGGCGTCCTGTGGCCTTATCCTGTGGCCTTCAGCGACAGGGCGGGGCACTTCAGAGACAGTCACGGATCTGCGCATCCTTCTCTAAATTCAGAAAATGAGCAAGCAGCCAAACCCTAGTGGGGACAGGAGGGTGGGGCAAAGATCGGCCATCTACAAAAGACCACCCAGTGAGTGGGCCTGGCCACCCCTTGAGTTCTCCGTCTCTGAGAAGCACCTGCAGGCAGGAGTCGGCCAGCGTGTGCGAGAGCCGTCTGACCAACGCTGACCCAACACCAGGCGGTCAACCGTAAGACCAGCGAGTGTTCTCCATGGAGTTCCCCAGGGACCTGGCCCCTCAAAACCCAGCACCCCCTGCTGCTTCCCCAGAAGCCCTGGGCGCACAGAGGAGGTCCTGAGGCAGGAGACAAGTGCCGGGTGGTGTGGCGTCACTCCCTGGCTTGTGGGGACCCCAGAGAGAACAGAATAAAACCCTGCCTGGTCCCCTTGGCCCCCACGGTCAGCGAGGGTTCAGGCTGTAGAGACCCACTGGGCTTTCACCAGCCGAAGTCTGGGAGGACATCACTGGGCCTCTCTCCCTAGTCAGGGGCTTCCCTGAACCCTGTTCACACCTGGCAGCACGCACACCTCCTCTGTCCAGACAGGTGGTGGCTACTCACGGGAAGCACCCGCCGGGATCGAACTGGGGTCTCCAGCATGGAGAGGGAACCACTGAACCACCAGGGACTCCTTAGTGTAACCTGGAAAAAAACCTGATGCAGAGCCCGGTACCATCAATGCACGGAGACCCTGCAGACCAGCGGTTCTCAACCTGTGGGTCGAGACCCCTCTGGGGGCCCAACACCCCTTTCACAGGGGTCGCCCAATTCACAACAGTAGCAAAATGACAGTGAAGAAGTAGCCACAAAAATAATGTTATGGTTGGAGGGTCACCACCACGAGGACCTGTATGAAAGGGTGGCGGCATGAGGAAGGTTGACAGCCACTGCTGTAGAGGGTGTCTGAGGCTGTAAGTCTTCCTGGGAGCAGACAGCCTCACTTTCTCCTGTGGTGGGAGGGTAGGCTTGAACCACCTGCCGGTCTTGCAGGTAGCGGCCCAGCACCTAACCCTCAGGGCCATGGGGCGGCTCCTGCATCAGCACAAAGCAGTAACACCCCTCGTCTCGCACGGGGTCGTGTGCGCCTCACATGCTGCTGCGCTGTGTGAGGTCTTAGCACAAGAGGGCACCTTGGGAGCCTGTGGCCCAACAGTGTGGGGAAGGTGGCAGGGTCCTACGACCATGTTTGGAACTGAAGTTGCATCCACGCCCAAGTGACTTCTTGATTGGAAATTGAATCTAGCTGGGGGTGGGGGGGGGGCTGTGTTCTTCCTCAGAGAGCCCTAGTTACCTGGCAGAGGTACCTGTTGGAATGGCCAATCCTGGGTTATTCCCTCCCTCCTGGCTTCTCGCTCTGGTACCACCCCCTGGAGACCGGCCCGTACACTCCGAGTGTCTCCCACTCCTACCCCCACCCGTGTCTGTGTCTGTCTGCACTGAGCGAGGGGCTGCAGGTGTAACGGGGGCCAGACCCTGGACACGTGCAGAGTCAGCCTGCTGCAAGCACGGAGGCCTACCCTCGAAGGTTCCTCTGAGTCCCTTGTCACCGGCCAGCAGGCGCTCCTGGGCCTCTGAGCTTCCCGCCCGCCACTGCCACCTGAGAATCCCACCTTTTATGGGGCTCATTTTTAATATCGGCACGTTTACGGGAGAGGTAAATAAACCTGATCATGCCATAAATTCAGTGTGCTCTTCTACTCTGCGGGTTTCGCCTAAAACCCCGTAAATCTCCCCGGGGAGCAGCATCTGGCCAGATAACAGAGGGGGCAGCGGTGGCCGGGGATTCAGAACCAGGGAGGAAAGGCTGACGTCAATCGCACCTGGCTTAGAGGCCGGGCAGTGGGGGCAAGCGGGCCTGCGAAGGGGATCTTCGAGCATGCCCCAGCCGGGCAGGAGAGAGGGGCCGGGGTCTACGTAACATCACCATCACTTTATCTACAACCGATGATCAAAACCACCTCCTGCAGGGGCACGGCTTTCTCTCAGAAATCAAATCCAACCCACTGTCCTCACGTTGGTCTGCTCACAGTGACGCCGGGGGACAGGGCACGGCCATCCCAGCATGATTCCAAGGCCATCAGCTGTACAGAAACACAGCGTCCCCCCCACACCAGCTGGTGGTGTCGAACCCCCGGCCTTCCAATGCAGCCAAGCGATTATTCACCACGCCCCCAGGGCACCTGGTGGAGCTTTAAAACCCGGAGCCAGTTATGCATTGGCAAGGCCAACAGTTCAAAACCACCAGCCACTCCGCTCCGCACAAGAGAGACGGGCTTTCCGCTCCCGTCAAGAGTGAGTCTCGGACACCCACAGGGGCCACTCCAGCCTGTTCCAGCAGGTCGCTGTGAGTCCAAGCTGGCCCGATGGCAGTGAGTCTGGTTTTGTGGGAACCCCTGCGTCAATGAGGGACATGGGCAGCCCTGTAGGAGAGTGAGAACCTCCCGTGGGGTTTCCAAGGCAAACACCTTGACAGAAGTAGACAGCCACCTCTCTCGCGGAACGGCCGGTGGATTCAAAGTGCCCACCTTCCTGGGAGCGGCTGACAGCTCCAGACGGCACCACCAGGCTCCCCCGCCAGGGGATCCGTTTATGCCGATTGCCAGGAACATGCGTTTGGAGGCTGCATAAAACCTGGCCAGGCTTTCTTTTACACCGGAAGCCAACTTGGAAGTTGACCTCGGCGCTGACTGTATACCCGGTGTATATGTGCACGATGGGGCAGTCTATACGTCCATATAAATATCAATACATATAAAGCTAACTTTCAGTGTGGGAAAACAAAAGCCATCTAACAGGCGGGTGCTGACATAACTCACCGTGGACAGCTCATCTGGTGCACGCGGCTTCCATTCTCAGTGTAAACCCCGCCGCGCCAGGCCATGATATACGGTAATGTCAGCGCACAATCTGGATTTACTATAAAGGGGCGCGGGCGAGCTGCAGGGCAGTAAACACTGCGGCCGGTGTATTTCACACTGAGCTGGTTTTTATGAAGAACACTTCACCGCCCAGCCACAGCACCCAGGTGATGGATGGGGAAAGATGCCTGACAAGCTTCATCATTGTTTGTAAATCTTAACTGTTCCTGCTCACTAACTCTGCAAGCAATTTTCAGAGACAGCCGCCGACAGAAGGACGGCCCCGCTCTCCTGAAGGTTATTCGAGTTGTACGTGGCCCTGGCCAGGCTTCAGGAGTGGCGCTGGGGAAACCAACTCCACAGGGACCCTGCATCGGGACCCGGGAAACACCCTCCTGGGTCCAAAGGCGAGTGGGAACGGCAGGTGCACTAACCCTACCGGGACCCGCACCCGCTGGGGACGACGGTGACCCCAGGATTCAGAGTCCAGTGCGGTCAGCAGTGGCTGGTTTGGGGGAAAGTGGCTGGCCAGGCTCTTCTTGGGCAGTTCCTCCGGGTGGCCTGGAAGCACCGATCTTTTCCTTCGCGGCTGGGCATGTTACCTGCGTCACGTGGGGTCTCCGGGCTTAGCTAAGCAGTGTCCCTGGGGTGGGGGGCACTAGCTCCCCGGGTCGCAGAAGCAGCAGGCGCGAGGCACGTGTGGCATGCACAGAGGACTGGCGCTGAGGGCTGAGCAGGCAGGAGGGGTCCACATTCACTGCCCTCTCAAGCCAGCCGCCACCAAAGCAGAAAGCCGCGCCCATGCTCACTGCGGCTCGCACGGGTCACTGCCGCTCAACAGTGGATGCTGCCCATGTGTCCACCTGCGGGCAGATGCCTCCAAAACATGTGGTCCATCCACACCATGAGGCACCGCTCGGCCGCAAAGAGAAACCAAATCCGATCCGCACTACACCGCCTTGGTGAACCTGAACACAAGACAGCCGGTGGGCGGTGCCGTCCAGCTGAGGAAGCTGAGTGTGGGCTGGCCCACAGCAGAGACTCAGAAGGCAAGGCTCACAGCAGGGGTAGCCGGGGCTGGGGGGTGTGGAATGAGGAGGGGGTGGAGACAAGGGAGGACGTGGTCAGGGAGCAATGAGATGTGGGGGGAGTGGGCTGGCAGGGATTACGGGGTGTGTGGGTGCGAATGGCATGGATCTGAAGTCGCTGAACTGGAAGAGGCTGTCCACATTTTTAGAGTGGACCAAAGAGAGGGGGGAGGAAAAGACAGAGGGGGGAGGGGAGGTATGGCTGGGCCCCATTTCCCGTGGATCAAGTCCAACCAAGCTCCATCCAACAGCCTGGAATCCCCGAGACGGATTGCAGAACATTCTCCCTGGCCCTGCCCCTCCACTCACATCTTCAGCCAAATGAAGACCCGTGGGTTCCAGCCTTAAGTTTGCTAACACACTGGAAACAACAAGCTCACCGCCATGCCGTCAGTGCTGACCCATAGACACCGACCCCGGTGGGTTTCTAAGAGGGTCACTGTTGATGGGAAGAGAAAGCCCTTTCTCCCTTGGAGCAGCTAGTGGTTTTGAACCGCCGACCATGGGGATCGCAGCCCAATGCGTAACCAGTACACCACCAGGGCTCCTAAATTTTATAAAGGGGCTAAAGATGTTATAAAAAACCCAGAGCGATCCCCCCACCAGACTCACTCTGTGCAGGACAAAATCCTATATTTTCCAAGAATTATCTGGGGGAAAGGGGTGGGCCTTTTCCACGTGCACCGACCAACAAATCCGTGTGCAAGGCGACAGCCAACAGCCAATGGCCAGACACAGAGCGAAGATCTAGAACAGCGGTTCTCAACCTGTAGGTCTCAACCGCTTTGGGGTCGAATGGCCCTTTCACAGGGGTCGCCTGAAACTGTATTTCTGACGGTCTCAGGAATCAAGACACTGCTCCTCTGTCTGTCTCCAGGCGGGTCTGCCACAAGCAGATACACCCACCTAGAGGGTCACCTCAACACGAGGAACTGTGTTAAAGGGGCGCAGCATCAGGAAGGTTGAGAACCACTGGTCTAGAACCGTAGGTCCTGCTTCTTCTTGCGTTTTAGATCGCAAACCTTCGTTTGATTTGATAATGCCTCATGAGTCAGTCTGTCTTTCTGTAGATCAGGTGTCCATGAGTCAGGTCTGTCTGTCTAGAGATCAGGTGCCCATGAGTCAGTCTGTCTGTCTGTCGATCGGGTGTCCATGAGTCAGGTCTGTGTGTCTGCAGATCGGATGCCCATGACTGAGGTCTGTCTGTCTGTAGATAGAGTGCCCATGAGTCAGTCTGTCTGTAGAACGGGTGTCCATGAGTCAGTCTGTCTGTCTGTAGATCAGGTGTCCATGACTGAGGTCTGTCTGTCTGTAGATAGAGTGCCCATGAGTCAGTCTGTCTGTCTGTCTATAGATCAGGTGTCCATGAGTCAGGTCTGTCTGTCTGTAGATCGGGTGCCCATGAGTCAGTCTGTCTGTCTGTAGATCAGGTGTCCATGACTGAGGTCTGTCTGTCTGTAGATAGAGTGCCCATGAGTCAGTCTGTCTGTCTATAGATCGGGTGCCCATGAGTCAGGTCTGTCTGTCTGTAGATCAGGTGCCCATGAGTCAGGTATGTCTGTCTGTCTATAGATCAGGTGTCCATGAGTCAGTCTGTCTGTCTGTAGATCGGGTG